CCCAAAGACTACTATCTGTTAGAGTCCATAAAATATATACGACAGGCAGTTCGCATCTTCTTTTATATATTCGGATTACTTGAGGGCCCATTATGGTTCTATAAAATTTCATTGGAAATTAACACAATTAACGCATTCTGTTGCCTAATAAAGTAAGAAGAATAAATTATCTCTTAAAAGGCTAGGTCAATCGTGGAATTGGGCACCACGTCAAAAATACCGGTGGCATAACGCTAGATCGCATAATGAGTGAATACTGTCATAAAACTGAATAAATGCTCGGATTGAAGCGAATGTTCACATCCCAGTTATGTGTGTATATAGAGAACGAGAATATGTTTCGATCACCAGAATCACAATTTTACTCGTCCCAGCTTTCGGCCTGTTTCTCAAGTCCATCTTCAGAGACAGAGGTGTCAACGATTTACAATCAGCCGTTATAAGAGGCAGCAGCAAATCAACGGCTAAATGGAGGAAGGAAGACAGTTAACTTCCGGTGCCATCAGTCCAGAGATGCCTTCGCAGGCCGATGTATGCTGACGCCAGATCGATAGACTGATTGACTAAATTCTCATTAGAGTCCCAGGCTTCAATCAGTTCTCAACCTGTTTTGTTGCCGTCGTGAGCGATTATCCTCGCAGCTGCGAAGTTATGCTAGTGACCCGTCTCGTAGGTGTGGGTAGCCTCTTGAAATAATGCGTCACGCCGTCGTACAGCCAGCTTATGTTCGTGCATGCGCGAACCAAGCATGTGTCCTGTCTGTCCTATGTAATTTCGGGGATAGTTTTTATATGGTATGCGATACATAACGCCCAACTGCTCACTGGTATTTAATCGATCCTTGATTCGTATGACCCGGCTGCACATAGTAGTCTTGGGACGGTGTGAAATTCTGACGCCTAGTCCTGAAGCAATACGCTCGGTCACTACCGATTCATCGTTGATGTACGGCAGTGCATGCAATACCGCACAGGTTGGTGCTACTTGGGTCGTCGGAGGTCGAGCACGTAGGCATTGGCTTTTGAAGGACTTCGGATAGCTATTCCGAATAAACTGGTCGCGGAGATATCGGATCGCGTGCTTTGTTCTTTCAAGACACCATCGTCGACTCTATATCAACACTGTAGAGGTGATATTGAGATTACATAGAGGTGATATAGTGTTGATGTTGAGTCGACAATTTTATCCAATTTGGCTATATTGAGCCATTTTACTCATCGCGCGCAAATATTCGGTTATTTAAATGAGCTGTTTATGAACCTAAGTTGAACTGTTACCGGCGTTCTTTCAAACCCCAAAACTTCACTGGTTCAAGGTAGGTCTTATATAGTCCTACCTGCATCCTGCCATTTTATGTTACAGGAACGAAACATGCATTGGCGAAGTTTCCTCCCTTTCTTACCCCTACTACGCCTAATATATAGAAACTATACTTGCTCCCGGTTCTGAAAAATCCGAAGCTATTTTATGGCCACTTAAGAAAGACCACCGAAACCGGGACCCAGTTCCCCTTCTGAAGGCAAGCGACGGAACAGAAATGAGTGAGGATGGAGCAAAAGCTGAGCATCTTTTACAATTTTTAAAATCGAACTTTAAGACTGAAATCGGATTT